ATTCTTAATTATAATTTAAGTCATTTTTAAAATACAACCAACATTTCTGTTTTAGAACATCTTTTCCTGAAAAAAAAAAAAAACTTACAAGAAATCAAAATTCAACTTCTTTCTCAGTCTACCTAAGATAAAACCAAAACTCTTACTATAATTCAAAAAGCAGATGACAAACTTTTTAGTATTGCAGTAGTTACAATCTTCCAAGTACCAGATCACTTTAAAGTAAGAATATTTTTTGCTAAATGAGAATGACATTGGATCAATTTATGAGGACAATTTAAGCATTTGACACATTTGATGTCACTAACTCTGTAATCTCAGCAGAAGAGTCATTTGCTAAGTATTTAGCAAATATCAAATCCTTAGCTTTTTATTAACCAGTTAGGGCTCTCTGATTTCCAAACACATTAGCTGCTGGGCCTAAAACTACCAGCTAAATGAATAGGCCATTAACTAGGCAGTCATTATTTATATCTTATACTATCACAAAGACCAAAGCAAATGTGTCTTAATCAGAACTTTTCAAAGTTAATTAAAAACAAGAAAATTCTACTGTTAAACCTATAAGTAAATTATTTTCCAAGAACCAGACTTTCTTGTTGGTACCTCTCTGCCTCATACATCCCAGGCAACCAGGACCTCTGGCTGGTGCCTCATCTAGTGAGAAGACCACTTTCTGTTTAATTGCATATATGTCCATATCTTAGCTTTTACCTAAATTCAATTGATCAAAAACATTCTATTACTGTATTAAATACGCACTTGAAATTTTTAAAAAAGAAACCAGAAAATGTGCTCATACACATAGGCTAAAAATATGCATATATTAATGCAGTTCAAACGGAAAACATGACCCTATGTAAGTTATTCAAAAAACACTTTCAATATTTGTAATATATATATATATATGCCTATGTACATACACACTCTAGTATTTTCAGTGTATTTTTATGAAAACAAAAAACAGCCAAATCAAAATGGTTTATCTAAACTTAGGAATAACATAATCTACATTATCAACTTCAGCATTAAAAAATTAGATATTTCACCAAATTGGCATTCAGATGTGAAAAAAACCTATATTTTTCTATGGGGCATAAGAACTGCAAAATGAGGTTCAGGACAAGGGTTCTAACACTGCTTAAACTTAGCAGAATTACAATAATACCTATTTCACTAAAAATAAACATAAAATTGGTTATTTAAAAAGATTTAAATAAAATGGATTTAATGGATTTAAAAAAGGCAGAGGAACCAGAGATCAAATTACCAACATCCGTTGGATTATCAAAAAAGCAACAGAGTTCCAGAAAAACATCTATTTCTGCTTCATTGATTACACCAAAGCCTTTGACTGTGTAGATCACAACAAACTGTGAAAAATTCTGAAAGAGATGGGAATACCAGACCACCTGACGTGCCTTCTGAGAAACCTACATGCAGGTCAAGAAGCAACAGTTAGAACTGGACATGGAACAACACACTGGTTCCAAATACAAAAAGGAGTACGTCAAGGCTGTATACTGTCACCCTGCTTATTTATCTTATATGCAGAGTACATCATGTAAAATGCCGGGCTGGATGAAGCACAAGCTGGAATCAAGATTGCCGGGAGAAATATCAGTAACCTCAGATACACAGATGACACCATCCTTATGGCAGAAAGTGAAGAAGAACTAAAGAGCCTCTTGATGAAAGTGGAAGAGGAGAGTGAAAAAACTGGTTTAAAACTCAACATTCAGAAAACTAAGATCATGGCATCTGTCCCATCACTTCATGGCTAATAGAGAAACAGTGACAGACTTTATTTTTGGGGGCTCCAAAGTCACTACAAATGTTGACTGTAGCCATGAAATTAAAAGACGCTTGCTCCTTGGAAGAAAAGCTATGACCAACAGAGACAGCATATTAAAAAGCAGAGACACTGCCTTGCCAACAATGGTCCGTCTAGTCAAAGCTATGGTTTTTGCAGTAGTCATGTATGGATGTGAGAGTTGGATTATAAAGAAAGGTGAGTGCCGAAGAACTGATGCTTTTGAACCATGGTGTTGGAGAAGACTCTTGAGAGTCTCTTGGACAGCAAGGAGATCCAACCAGTCCATCCTAAAGGAAATCAGTCCTGAATATTCACTGGAAGGACTGATGCTGAAGCTGAAACTCCAACACTTTGGCCACCTGATGAGAAGAACTAACTCACTGGAAAAGAGCCTGACGCTGGGAAAGATTGAAGGTAGGAGGAGAGGGGGATGACAGAGGATGAGATGGTTGGATGGCATCACCAACTTAATGGACATGAGTTTGAGCAAGCTCTGGGAGTTGGTTATGGACAGGGAAGCCTGGTGAGCTGTAGCCCATGGGGTCGCAAACAGTCGGACACGACTGAGCGACTAAAGTAACCTGGCTCTTTAAATAAATACACAATTTTTTACAGTGATGAAGATTTTTTTAAAAATGAAAAGCGAACTGGAAAGAAAGAAAAAGGCAAAAATCTGTATAAAGAAGGAAGAGATTAATTAAGTACCTAAATTTTCACATCTGTCAGGGGAAAAAGAAAGAGACACACACACGGTGGTATAGAACTTCCTACCCCACCACATGTGTCTAATCAAATGAAATCCAGCACTGGCAGGACATAGCAGATAATATACACTATCATGAAGGTCATGTGAGCAAGCAGAAAGGCCAAGGAAAATTTCCTGGGTCTTTGAAATGAGACTGCTTCTGACCAATGGATCAGATACACAAGTAAAATGCTTTTCATTTCAGTAAGACAATAACTGGTGAAGGGATTTTGATAAGCATGAAATGTTGTGATAAAGACAGTATATTTGCATGTTTATGTACGCAGGTCCATACACGTGTGTGTGTGTGTGCTGGGGAATAGTGATTTTGCATACAAAGGCAGCTAATCACATGAGTAAGTTCACATTAAACACACAGTAAAAGAAATTACGGGTCTGTTATTCATCTGTCCTAAGTCCTCCTAAAATTTCCTATTTCCAAAATTATGAGACTTTTTATATTTGACATCATCAGCTAACTTACACACATATCATGAAAAAGCAATCTGCTTCCATAAAAGTAAGAACAAAATTTTCCAAAATCATTATCAGTGCCTATTATTCTTTCCCTTGTCACAATAATTGTTTATTTAAATGGACTCTATTTGTAAGTATTGAGAAGTATTTTGCTTCAAGCTATAAAAGCACAGGTCCAATTTCTTTTTGCTCAGATGGAGTTGAGAATGATGAGGTTACTTTGATGAGCATGACTTTAGGGATACTTAAAACTACTTCAGAGCAAAAAACTGAAACTTCAACAAAGATATTTTAAATTGCTACTATGTTTCAGGGATAAGCCATGCCATTTAGGCACTAATAACAGGAAAAAACACTATGTCCATCTTCTATTTCTATACGCCCAATAGTAATAATCATAACTTTGCCTAAAAATCATGTTACCACTATTTAGTTTTATAACTACAAGGATCTTTTTTATTAATTCTTCCATCACACTTTAGATTACTCTGGATTTCATTTGTATTAAGCCTGGCAGCAACACAGTTCGACTCTACAATAGTGAAATAATCTTTCATGATCAACTTACACTACAGTTTTCAGGTGGAACTAGAAGCTGAGTTATCTCACCACCATGGACACAGAAGATATGTTTCATTTCTCCAGAAAATATGTCCCAAATTATGACTGAAAAATCCACGCCTCCAGATATGAGATATCTTTGATCATAACGGGCTGAGACCTGATGAGGGTACAGCAAACATGTGACTTTGTTCCGATGACCACGGAGTGTCCTGTGAGGTGGCCAACCTGCAAATGAGGTTTGGGATTTAAAACGGGAAAATTCGAGTCTTCCAAATTTTCAACAAAAGTAAACAAGAATTTTCAGACTAGCTCTACATTTTATCATTAAAAAGTTCCTCTCACATATATTTCTATTGGACAGTTTTTGTTCTAAAAGACTACCAGTATTACTGATAATATAATAGTACGCCAGAGATACCTAATAATAAATGGTAACTATTAACATATATCAAAGAGAAAAACTGAATATTTCTATTTACAGTCATTGTGCTAAGTCGCTCAAGTTGTATGCGACTCTTAGAGACCCCGTGGACTGCAGCCCGCCAGGCTCTTCTGTCCATGGGATTCTCCAGGCAAGAATCCTGGAGTAGGTCGCCCTTTCCTTCTCCAGGGGATCTTCCCAACGCAGGGATCAAACCCCAGTCTCTTGCATCTGCTGCACGGGCAGGCGGGCTCTTTGCGACGAGCGCTGCCGGGAAGCCCCGTGCTTGTCATTGCGCAGTGTCTATCCCAGTAACAGACACTGGCTACAGTTGATCCCTGAGCAACATAGGCTAAACTGCGCTGTGCTGGGCAGGCCCACGCATACGCGGGCTTTTTCCAATGAATACATACTGCAGCACTACACAGGGGCAGTGGGTGGAACCCCAGAATGCACAACCATGGATACAGAGGGCTGGCTGTAAAGCGCCACAGACTTTCAGCTGTGCAGAGGGACAGCACCCCAACCCTCTGAGTTGTTCCAGGGCCAACTGGAGTATATCTTACTAACTGCATGTCACATGACCAGCTACGGAGCACACTGACAGCTACACCGATGCACTGTGTCTGCGAAACACGCAGAGTGCAGACGCTGTCAAGTTCACAGTCACAGAGTGCTCCTGACACCGGATGCCAGCAGGTCTGCAGGTACCTCTGCGGAGCATGTGCTCGCCCTGCAGAAGCTGCACTATGGCCGTCTGCGTGGCGGGGACGATGACGATGCTTCCGTCTTCACGGCCACAGACGAGCCGTCCGTGCGCTGGTATGTACACACTTGCTGTCACCTTAAGAGGTTCGCTACTATTGGGGATCACGCTCAGCTGATCTATAATTCCAGCAGGACACGGGTTCAGGTTATCAAACGCCTCTTGCAGACTAATAGATGTGGTCATTTCTCGCCCTGTGGAGGTTTTGTGTGGTAGAAAAGAAACATATTTGAGCATGTTAGAAAAAGAAACGAAAACCAATTCAACACATAAAAATAAACGTGCTTACAGTTGATTCCATGAAATTCCAAAGAATAACTGTCATCAACTATCATTCTAAGAAGAAAAGGACATGTGTACATTATGAACTGGCTATACAGTGGTTACTGTTCAGGTTGTTCAGTTAGAAACATGGAGAAATAACTGCACATGATTTTCTAGAACCTCCATTACCTTCCGGTTTATCAGGTGTGTCTGATATGTTCCAAATATTCAATCTTCCAGAAGAATCACCCTGAATTAATAGTTTGTGGGAGTATTCTTTGCATCCATAGAAGAATCGAGTCACAGGAGGACAAATTAGCAACTGTAAAAAAAAAAAATTGTTCAAATTCCCTTTTCTATCTTTTAAAACAAAATATTTCACAGTTAAGTTTCTTCAGATTAGGATGTAAAGTATTTCATCTCAGTGCCAGAGTAAAAAAAAAAAAAAAAGTGTATTTATAGAATGAGTGTTCAATAATATTTTAATTAATTTTGTAGCATTGATATAAATATATGTCAACTAATACTCAAATCCGGTATATATAACACAAACATTCAAAGAAATAAAAACTATATTTATATAGTCTTTCTCTAGAATTAACATTTTTATTCTTTTTCTCTGCTTTATAAAAACCACATTGCAATTATTTAATTGTCTATTATTAAGCAATGAATCCAAAGATATACCCCTCTATACCAAAAAGAGGGTATTCTGCCCATTCCTTATTAGCTATTCACCAAGAATGGCTATAAAACTAAACTACCATGCTGTACCACTAGAGGACTGGTTTTTTTTCTTTTTAATTAGACTATTTTTCAACTAATAGCACAAAACATCCCTGGTGGCTCAGTGCTAAAAAATTTGCCTGCAATGCAGGAGACCTGGGTTTGATCCCTGGGTCTAGAAGATGCCCTGGAGAAGGGAATGGCTACCCACTCCAGTATTCTGGCCTGGAGAATCCCACGGACAGAAGAGCTTGGTGGGCTACACACCTTGGGGTGTCAAAGTGTGACATGACACTTTGCATGCATGAATAAGCAACTAATACTTTTCACTTTTATCACTTGATCACATTTTCATAATCAACTTGAACCTAGCCTGATATGCTAGCTACAAACTACTAGGAACAAAAACCATTCATTAGGATCTTGCATATACTTTCATTTTTAAAGCACATTATTTTCTGCTTAAGATCCTGTATCTTCAGTGAGACCACTTATTTGAAAATACTAAACAGTGGTGGACTCCTAAATTTAAATTTAGATGATTAATACACTAAAACTTGAGTATGAAAGTATGTAAGCTTATCCTGAAAAGCAGTTAAAAAACAAAAGGTAAATAATCTATATTCAGTATCAGTGCTAAAAAGCACTACCCTATAGAAATTACATGCATTAAGCATGGCCAATTATTTGGTTTAACTTAGTCTGAAAATTGCTAAAAGTTTGACTGATAAACATGTTTAACCAGGAAAAGTTGCTACAAAGTTGGAATAACCAGTATTCTGTACTACAATGTGTATCTCGCACCACATAATACATATATTTTAATTTAAAATGAACTGGTGAGCTGATACTTAAGGAAATATAATATGCATTTTTTGTTTCATGTTTTGTTTGGTTTTTTTGCTGCACAGTGCAGCTTGTGGGATGTTACTTCCCCGATCAGGGACTGAACCCGGGCCCAGCAGTAAACAGCAAGCCCTAACAACCGAACAGACAGAGATTTTCCATCAGGTATGTTTTCTATGTAAGTCATTATGCCTTAGTTTAAGCAGAAGTGACAGTCTAGTTTGCTAGTTTTATTTATCTATCAGTAAGTAGCAGTTTAAGTTAAAAGAATAAAGGACAGGTCATAAAGGATCTTAATTATACATGGATGGATAAATTCTATATATTCAAAATATTCATGGAAAATGGCAAGCGATCCCCTTGCCATCCCTCCACATAAAGATAGAACAAAATGCTAAGAATGAAAAAGTTATGGAAACCCAGATCATAAGTAAAGGAAACTTTATTTCCAAAACCAAAGCTTCTTTCTTAATGTTCAAAGAACACAGAGTTGAAAACCCACTACTAAGTGCATTTCAACTTTAAATTAATATTAAGTAGGTTTTTAGAAACAACGCAGGAGACCTGGATTCGATCCCTGGGTCAAGAAGATTCCTTGGAGAAAAGAATGGTGACCCTCTGCATTATTCTTGCCTGGGAGGCCCCAAGGACAGAGGGGCCGGAGGGACTACAGTTCACGGGGTCACACAGTCGGAGACAGCCGAGCAACTAGCACTAGAAGTCATGATGAAATTTTCATTTTATAGAGAAAACATTCTTTTATTCTTTATTTCTAATACCTAATGATTTAAATCACTACATGATTTTGGAGAAATACTGCAGTACTTATTCAAACAATAATCAGTCAGCATTATTATATAATTATCTTTGTCATTCTAAAATTACATCTGTCACTGTGTTTAGAACTGCATGAGTTTGGTAAAATCAATTTATAACATCAATGTGAATTTTATCAAAAAATCATTGCCACTTTGTAATCAGTATAAGATCACTTTTCTTCCTGGAGAAAGGGAATGCTTATATTGTAGGCATATTATGCACACATGCATGGTCAGTCATGTCTGAGTCTTTGTGACCCCACAGGCTGCAGCCGACCAGTCTCTTCTGTCCATGGAATTTTCCAGGCAGGAATACTGGAGGGGGTTGCCATTTCCTCTTTCATACAGGCATATTATAAGCAAATGCACAAATTATGCTTATAATAACCATGTCAAAATGATTTACGTCTAATAGAGTGCCTTGAATGGCAATCAATCTTTGAAATGCTTAGCTACCAAAAGACACTAATAATTACAGTTGTGGAAATTTTTCAACATAGCCACCAACTATAAATGATACCTGAAGAATTTTACCTCTTTATCTGTTCGGTCCAAGAGGCTGTGCTGCACTGGAGGAATTAAACTTTCAACCGCTTTCCCCACATCGCTGCGGAATGAATCACTAGCTGGAAGGCAACTGAGAGTGAGGAAAATACAACATTCAGTAAAAAAAAACACTGACATTAAATACTGTATCACACCATCTGATGAGGTTTTTTCACAATGGACAATATATGGATTGTTTTATAGTTAATTTAATATAGGCATTAAATAATGTTATTAAAATATCTTACTCAAATAAAAATCCACCTAATGGGAGGAGGAGCTAAGATGGCAGAGGAATAGGACAGGGAGACCACTTTCTCCCCTACAAATTCATCCAAAGAACATTTGAACGCTGAGCAAACTTCACAAAACAACTTCTGACCGCTAGCAGAAGACATCAGGTGCCCAGAAAAGCATCCCATCGTCTTCGAAAGGAGGTAGGACAAAATATAAAAGATAAAAAGAGAGACAATAGAGTTAGGGAAAGAGACCCGTCCCGGGAAGGGAGGCGTAATAGAGGAAGTTTCCAAACACCAGGAAACCCTTGCACTGGCGGGTCTGGGGGAAGTTTTTGAATCTCAGAGGGCAACCTAACTGGGAGGAAAAATAAATAAAACCCACAGATTACATGCCTAAAAGCAATTCCCAGCAGAAAAGTACCCCAGACACCCGCATCCGCCACCAGCAAGTGGGGGCAGAACGGAAAGGAGCCGGCGGCACTGCTTAGGGTAAGGACTGGGCCCAAATGCCCTGAGGGCAATCGGAGGGAGCTAATGTGAAGCAACTTGAACTGTGGGACAGCAAGAGAGAGAGAGAAAATCAACCGGCCCGAACACACTGTGGGCCCATTCACAGAACACAGGAAGAACTGAGCCATCCCAGAGAAGAGCTAGCCGGTGGCGGGCCGGTCCATTCTCGGCCGGAGGCAGGAGGCAGCGGGGAGTGGAAAGGGGCAAACTCAGCCCCAGAGCGGGCACCCCTTACCAAACTGCAAACAGGCTCCCAGTTTCTAACCAAAGACTTCCTGAGATTCTGGATGGTTGACATCTGCTGGGAGGGTTGTGGCTAGAGGCCAGCCCCCCAGAACAGACACAAGGCGCACCCGACCAGCGTGCACAGAAACTGAGGCTGGGACCACAGAGGGGAGAAGGCGCGCCGCACCCGGGGAGAGCGCGCCCCTCAAGCTCCAGGCTACCTGAGCTGCTCGGCCGGGGAAGGCACAAAACGCAGGCCCAACCGAGTCCGCGCTTTTGTGGAGTACCCGAAAACTGGAACCGCACGCAACGCAGGGCCCGCTCCATATAGAGAAGCCGGGAGCCTGAGCAGTGTAGACAAGGAGAGCACACACCATGAAAGGGGGCAAACCCAGTGTGGCCGGAACACTGCGGGTGCTCCCCACACACGCCAGTGACATTTGTCTGCAGCGCCCCTCCCTCCCCGCAGCAGGACTGAACAAGCGAACCTAAACAAGGGACCACCACCCGCCTGTGTCAGGGTGGAAATTAGACACTGAAGAGACCGGCAAACAGAAGCCAAATAAACAAAGGGAACTGCTTCAGAAGGGGCCGGTGCAACAGATTAAAATCCCCGTAGATAACACCGACTACACCGGAAGGGGCCTGTAGATATCGAGAAGTGTAAGCTGGAATGAGGAGCTATCTGAAACTGAACCGAACCCACACTGACCTCAACAGCTCCAGAGAAATTCCTAGATATATTTTTACTTTTTTTTTTT